CGCATTCTATTTTCGAGGGCAGGTTATGCAAACCACCTGAAAAGCCAGCCTGACTCATTCTCCTGCTGGCAATATACCTCTGCTGTTTGCAACAAGCTTTGCAGATCATCATCTGCACAGAGTTTGCATATGTTGGTTCACAGGAGATTTTTAAGACATGCAGATTCAATCAAACCAGTCATGGATAAAGAGTCTATATTATATATGCCTGGCACCTATGAAATAGAATGCTTGTTTCAAGAGTCATCTTAAAGTCCATGGACGTCGAAACGTGACGGAAGACCTCACATGTGATGCGAGGGGTGAAGAGGCGGCTCTCATCTGAGTAAGATGTGACAAATACCATGTTATGTTGATACTGAATTTGATCTAATGTGTAATGAATGTGTTCGCGTCTGTCTAAGTAGAATAGGCATAAAAAAATTTATCAAAGAAGCCATATACAGAGAGAAGTCATTAACTACATGTTATATGATATTTTTACTTGCAGTGAGTGTGGAAAAGTATGTGTCCCTGTTGGTAAACTAAGATGTCATACGAAATGTATGTATGTATACTATGATGCAGTCTAATTCTTTTGAGTTAAATTCTATCGTTGTTCACAAAGTTTCATACATAGGCATTGTTTATTAAAACTATTATCACTAGAGTATCTCTGTGTATAATGCACAATTGCAATTAAACACCTGAAAGTTAACACTATGGCAGGTAGTGTAAGTTCCTGGTTAAATCTAAAACTATGCATTCGTGCTCCCAACTGGTGGAACTGTGGAATTTAATTTTTCTTTCTTTTCGTAATAATAAATATCTATCACTTATAAATTATTTATTATAATAAATATCTCTCAATATAAACTCACTAAGTTACAGTTACTCTCTTAAAACTTATACAACGGTTAATTTATGACAGTGGTCATGTAAATCAACTGAAGAACAATCATGTATGTATCCAATTGTGTAGAAGAATTATTATGGGGTAAATCAAAATGTTACTTATAACAGGCCTTACCGCTATGCGACTGGGGTCCACGACAATGGGCGGACAGGTAGAAACCTAAACTACTAATAAATAACAATTACAGAGAACCATCTAGGAACTTGTTGTTAATATCAAATAATTAGTTAATTAGCAAATATATGTATTATTAAGAAGTAAGTTACAATCATAAACAATTATCGACTTATTTCCATAAACGCAAATATACTGCAAAAGAACAAAATGAATCTCCTCTACGAACTAAAATTAAAAAAAGATATTTGATTCGCTACAAATTAGGAACATTTTAGATAATATTGCAGAAATAATGAGTCAATTTATACTTCTTCTTTATGTGCTGTGCCCCCCCAACTAGGAAGTAGGTGATCATGTCTCTTCACAACTTCCCTTGTAGCTCTTAATAAATGTTGTCTTTTTGTTATTTCTTCTAAACCCTGTTCCGCCACTCATTTACCCATGCTCAATAGGTAAATTATGTTGTTTTTCTCTGTCTCTCTTGCCTTTAATTTCTCCTGCGAGTATCAGATTTTCCAAACCTTCTTTCCTTATTGTGTACCCAAGAAACCTCAACTGTCCCTTCCAGATATTAAGTATAAGTTTCCTTTTTGTTTCCATTTTCTCTAAAACTTCGTCGTTGCTCACATGATCGGACCATACTAAACCCAGCATCCTTCTGTTGCTTCAAGTCTCTTCATCTTTGAGAAGATTGTCTAGCCTTGTTTCTAGCAAAGTTTTTCTATTTCTTAATACTTTGCTTAGCTTTTGTTTGATTTTGGTATCTCCCATTTGCAATTCGCACATTGAGCTCATATTTTGCTAACAACCATTCTGTCTTCTTGCAATTGATGTTTAATCCTTCTCGATTTCCTTCACTACTTTCTGTGGGAGATTTTTAGTTTTCTTCCCGTGTTTGATATCAACACTGTGCCATCTGTATATTTTATGTTGTTAAGATTGTTGTCTCAAATAATGAATCCTGATAAGACTTCTAGTTCTCTCAGAATCGCCTCGCTGTATTGGTTGAATAAGTCCAGTGACAGTGTTATGGAGTGATTTCACAGTGGAGACCTGTATTTGTACCAAGTCGGTCCTAAAATAGGTTCGACGTACAAAACGTTAGGAACTTGATATAATAGGTATAACGCAGCGTAATCTAGTTGTGGTCACTGATACTTTAGTATCCAACTAACTGTCGTCCGACATCGACTGACTCACCGACCCCCTGACTGACCCCTCGTTACTCTTACTACTCCTACTTATTATAGGTGGGAGAGTCTATTAATTATAGAATAGGTGTGTTCCACTATAACAGAAAGCACACATCTTACACCCACTTCTATTTATATATACCGCTCAACTCATTTTCTATCCGTATGCAGGCCATTTGCTGTCAGTATATGTACTTGATTATTCTAAAATCCTTTCAAAATATATCAAAGTTGCTGATCTTTGTTGTGCACTTTATCGATCGTCTTTGCGTAATGTATAAAACACAGGAACACGTCATTCTGCGTTTTTATTGCTCTTTCTGATAATATTCTTTGCTTAAGTATCGCGTTTCTTGTTCCAGTGTTTTTGACGAACTCGCACTCTTCGTGTCCTATTTCTGGTCTTATTGTGCTACGTACTCTATTCATCAGAGTTCGGATGATAAGTTTCGTTATGTGGCTCATTAGGCTGATTGTTCGATGGAGTTTACATTCGTTTGCACCTGGCTTCTTAGTGCTATGAAAATAGATCTAGCTAGGACTTCCCGTAAATTGCCACTGTTGTAGATTTCATTTATTATTTCTGCAATCTTGCCTATGCCGAAGTCGTCTAAGACTGCCAGCATCTCTGTTACAATTCCGTCTGACCCTGCAGCTTTGTTTCTGTTCAATTTGGCTAGTACAGATTCCGCTCCAGATTTTAATATTTCCGGTCCGTCGAATTTCATTGTATTTCCGGTTGTTCTCTTTCGACGTGGAAGAGTTCTCCGATATATTTTTTCATCTCTGAAGAATATTTCTTTCTCTACTATCAGTGTCCATTCCTTGGATTTAATGCATCCTGTTGCTGAACAGTCCTGTTCTCTTATTTTTTTTATGCATATCTGTTTTATTTGTGATACTCACTCTTTCTAATTCTGCACATTTTTTCGTTGATCCATTCCTTTTTAACCTGCCTGCATTTGTGTTTAGCGTCCTATATTCGGTTCCGTGTCTTGGCATGGTTTTTTTTTTTTTCATCATGTCGAGAATTTCGTCTGTCAACCATTAATTTTTTTTCTTCGTCTTATTTCCTCTATGGTGATCTTGATTGCTGATGTTACTAAAGCTTCTCTTAAAGTGTCCATCTTCGACTTCCCACTTCCATTTTGTGCTATGTATCTGCTTTTCTCACTGTCCATTTATTTCTCCTTCAGGTTCGGATCGTACAAGAATTTGTTGTATTACAATTTTGGTATTGCTTAAGTCCTCTTCAATTTCTATAGTTTCACTTTAAGTTTGCATATCACTGGAAGTTGATCGCTTCTACAGTCGACACTTGGATATGTTTTGCAGAGAAAAACTGCATTCCTGAACCTCTTGTTGATAGTTATGTAGTCAATTTGGTTTTTCATTTCTCCTCCTAGGCTTCTCCATGTCCACAATTGTCTTGGAATTTTTTAGAAACAGATATTGGCTGGTCATTCGTCGTGCATCATTGGGACCCATTTTTCTCTGCAATTAATTAATTAAAAGCATAGAAAATATAATTGTTTAATAAATTCAGGAAGCAAATCCCACTTTTTATAAAATGATATGTCGAAACTAAGTCTGAAAATTGAAAACAAAAAATGTAGTAAATCTCAGACAAACAATAATTTTGATAATTTTGCAAATTTTTTCCTGTGGTTTTTGTCAAATCGACAATTGTCTACTTTCAGGATTTTCCACAGGTGTGAAGTGCGAGAAAAGAAACTGTTAAAGTAGAAACGATGGTTAAAAAAATATATTGACTTTATATGACAAAATTCTTAATAATAACATTTTTGTGAGTTTCTTTGTTTTAAATAGTTCAAATAAATAGAAATGTATTGCTTTCTTTACATATATTTTCTCAATATATTTTAAAGGACAGATGTAAAATGTTATATTTACTAAATTTAATTAAAATTCTTAATAAAATAACATTTTGATTAAATTATCGGTGCGAAAAGTTATATTTTTGGTTTGTATTTACGAAAGACGGTAAAATTAAAATTCAGTATACATTTTTAAAGTACTCGTTAAAAACACAAATTATTCGTCCTAAATTAAATTTTATAATCAATATGTTCATTGTTATGAAGAACAATATCATAAAGAAAAAGTAACTTGATAAAATTTTTAATGATAATTTTTGGACAATTTCAGATAATTTAATTCTAAACAATAAAGTTAAAATACTGCAAGTTCAAAGAAAATAAAATAAATGAAACATACAGTGCCGTAAATATCAAAATTGAGTTAATCTAATTTGTCCGCCCCCAGGTATGAACAACAGTCGCATAGCTGCCAGGCCTTTTATAGTTGATATCGTTGTTCAAAAAGTGGAATTGGTCCCGTATGAAGCTTTCCTCGTTTTAAAAATCTTCAAGCGTATTCATTGCTTGTTAAATAATATCATCATTGGAGATTCTGTTCATAAACCATGAGTACCATAAGGGTACTCAACAATTAAATTCAATAACAATCTGTGTGTTGGGGGGGGCGTGGTTCTGCTTGAAGACCACATTCGTGCTACATTTTATTGAAACTGTGGAATGGTGCAACATAAAGCGATGTTAATACCCCGATGAGGAGAGTAGGTTTGGAAAATTTGACGCTTTCAGGACATACTGAACGCAAGAGCGGCCGAGTGAAACAACGATTAATGTACTTATCAAGCTTGTATAAATCGATAGCAGATATTGTGCACGAAAGCCAAGTGAATGTGCACAGGACAAAATACACGTGGTTGTGTGTGGGTTCTGGGTTGATTCGTTTACATATGTATTTGCATGTGTATATTTACCACTAATATTATCTATCTATCTATCTATCTATCTATCTATCTATCTATCTATATTTATATGTGTGTCAGTATGAATTTTGTGAGTTCTTTATTCACAGACACGCGCGTGTGTACGTGCACACAGACACACATACATATATATATACATATATACATACATACATATATATGTATATTATAAACGAAGATTTACATATATTATGATACATGTTTACACGTTACAGACGTTCACAAATAAGGATATATATATATATATATATATATATATATATATATATATATATATATATATGAAAGTGAACATAGAAGTCAACATAGAGGCGACAGTCTGTTTCATGCTATATGCAATCGTCGTGGCCTGACGATTGCATATAGCATGAAACAGACTGTCGCCTCTAAGTGCTGACTTCTATGTTCACTTTTATATTTACACACGCTCTATCTCTGATATTGAGCACTTTATTCCATATATATAGCACACCTTAAGACTATATTTCTTCCTATATATATATATATATATATATATATATATATATATACTGTCATCCACAGACAGACTGTTTCGCTGTATCACAGTTCATCAGAGTGGTTAGACGTCCGGTTGTCTCTAGCTAGGATTGAAACCCGACTCCGTCAGTCGGACATACTCTCTCTCTCTCTCTCTCTCTCTCTATATATATATATATATATATATATATATATATATATATATATATATAACGAACAGTCAGAATTATAATCCAGAGTACTTTAGCATTTGCTTTTAAAAATAGTACTCGATGCACAGTAGAACATAATATTATAATTATTATTTAAAAATATGTTTTCATCGCGGCACAGAAATTACCATGTTTCGAAACCAAAACCTAAATCTTAAATTAAGTTTAAAATTAAAACTAAACTTTAAATTTTAAGGTTAATTTACGATTTACATTTTGGTAATTTCTGTGTCGCGATGAATACGTATTTTTAAAATAATAATAATAATAATAATAATAATAATATATATATATATATATATATATATATATATATATATATATATATGAGTGTCTGTATATATATATATATATATATATATATATATATATAACCTGTCTATATTTTCCGATTTCTTTTACTGTAGGTCTGATGATTTGGATCATAATTACGATTCCAGTGTAATAAATTATAACCATGGAATGTTAGTGTTTGAGCTTTGTATATTATATTCTTACTCTGTCTTGGACATTGAGCTCTACCTGGATTCTATCCTCTTGAAATATATATATATATATATATATATATATATAGTACAAACCTGATATAAGAGATCCGGATATAAGAGAAACCCGGATATAAGAGAGATTTTCTGGTCACAAATTAGAGCCTGTGTTACGTAAACAAAATAAACCAAACCCTGATATAAGAGAAACCCGGATATAAGAGACTTCTTCTCCGGTCCCGACAACTCTCTTATATCCGGGTTACGCTGTATATATATATATATATATATATATATATATATATATATATATATATAATGACTATTAATATTATCAATATATATATATATATATATATATATATGCGTGTGTCTATGTGTATACGCATTGGATATATATAAGTGTACTTTCATATATATGTATGCGTATGCGTTAATTTATAAGTGACTTTGTATATGTGATGTATAATATCTAACAGCTATTTTTATGTTTGCGTGAATTGCTATCGATTCAATGATGATTACATTGATCTCAAGTTTAGGAAGCAAATAGCTCAGCCTTTCTCAGTCAGTCGAAACCAATCAGTCCTTGTAACCATTACTTTCAAGAAATCACCGCTACTCCGATTCATATCCGGTTCTTCAACATCTAAATTGACCTGTACCTCTATTCTCCGTGTCAACGACGTATTCCTGGATGCCAATATCGCGGGATGAGTCAAGACTGTCCCAAAATAAATGGGAATACCCATTAAAGACTTGAATGGAATTACTTTAACAATGCACGACCTACTGCCCTTTACTATTAGTTGTGCTAATTAAGACGTTTCAAAATAATCTGTTTCATTTACCAAAGAGGCTTATTCTTAAGCGCATCTATTTGGACCATGTGTATCAGAAAAGATTCTATCATATCCAATTGTCTTTAGGAATTCTGATATTTTGTGATTTAGTCAAAGGTGGGTCAAGCAGAGAATTAATTAAATTTTCGTAGACACACACACATACACATATATATATGTGTATATATATGTGTGTGTGTGTGTGTGTGTGTGTGTGTGTGTGTGTGTGTGTCGACCTTGATGTCAGCACTCAGAGGGGACAATCTGTTTCATGCTGAACGCAATCGTCAAGCCATGTGAGTAGTATATATATATATATATATATATATATATATATATGTTTATGTCTGTATGAGGCCCGGCGGACGAGCGAGTGTGTATGTACGTCTGCGTACCTCAACGGGTGTACGGACATGAATCTATGTCTGCGTTAGCATGAGTGACAACACGACAACGATTTCCTCCCTCCCCCACTTCCATAATAACACCAACACCCGCAATCTCCGTAAATCCAAAATTTTAAAAAATTAATCAGTTTGTCTGACGATCGCAAAAGCGTGAAACCCAGGGTCACAAACTCACATCAATCCAACCTAATCTGTTAGTTCTATGTCTGTTATTGTGGGCGCTTTCTAATAAGTACCGCGCATATAATATATAAATAATTATATATTTATATTATATATATATATATATATATATATATATATGATTATATTTATATACACACACTTTTTCACACATACATATATATATATATATATATATATATATATATATATATATATATATATATATATGAAATGTATTAAGTTCGACAATTATTTAATATATCTTCAGTTCATATATTATTTTTTTTATATTATAATTTATTTAAGTAAATGGTCTGGTTTTAATTAAACAGTATTAATTACGTTTATCGCCCTGTGTTCTCCACCAGGAATCGAACCTACAACCATTATTGGAACCGTCATATATCCTGACGTTACTGCTACCATCCAACCACAGAGAAGCGTCTGGTTAAAAACTTCTCGAACGTTTAGACCGGCAAATGTAAATAATAGTTTAATTAAAAACAAATTATATCAATAAAAATAACATATAAACAGAAAATATATTACTTACTTACTTACACTTATATACACACACACACACACACACACACACACACAATATATATATATATATACATACATACATACATACATATATGTATGTATAATACACACACATAATATATATATATATATATATATATATATATATATATATATATATAGAGAGAGAGAGAGAGAGAGAGAGAGATAATATTAGTGGTAAAAATACACATACATATGCAAAATATATAGATATATATACATAGGTGCATACACATATATGTATATTTTTTGAATAAAAAATTCCGAAAGGATAGAATCCAGGTAGAACTCAATGTACAGGACAGAGTAAGGATATAACAAAAAGGCTTAAACTCTAATATTCCATGGACATAATTTATTCCAATAGAATCGTAAATACGATCCAATTCATCAGACCTACAAATTCAAAAAGAAAACAGAAAAAACAGCTCCGGAAATAAAAACAGAATTTGTAGGTCTGATGAATTGGATCGTATTTACGATTCCAATGGAATAAATTATGACCATGGAATATTAGTGTTTAAGCCTTTTTATTATTTATATATATATATATATAATTTTGTCAACAAAAGAAAATAGGTTTTTAGTAATCGAGATATGATTTTGTGTTAATATTTCCATCACCTTTGCATTATCTAAATATATATAGGATGGAAACAACTAAAAAAAATGTCAGTCCTTCCATTTTTAATCAATATTTGATTAGCAAACAATGAAGTCTCCTAGATTTGTTATTTCCATGACTAATTTCACATTTTTATTTACACAGAGAATGAAAGTAATTCGGAAAAACATCCTAAGAGCTAATCAATATTAAAAACGAAAGTTTGAATTTCGTTCATATTTCCAGGTTTATTTTTATCGTGAGAATATTCTGTATACTAAACAGGCATTCTTATTTATTCTGTTGGGAACAGCTATAACAAAAATCAAGTTGAAGTAAAATGATTTTTATATCAGAGTTTGTTCTTTTCGATACACTAAGAATTTTCTGTTCGCTTGTCAGTTTCACTTCTTAGAGAATTAAATTCAAATTACAATTCAAAAATAAAATGAAAAAGAAAGCTCGTTCATTGTTGTATTAACATTCTTTCTAACATCATGTTCTATGAAGTATTTTTCTGTTTACTTTGAACCGAAAAAGAAAAGGCCTACGTTTTCATATACATTTATATTTCGATGACATATTCTGAGATTTTTCTTATACACTGAGACAGCTTTTTGTTTACGACAAGATTTGCGGAAAGTTTCAAAATAAATAGAAATCACAGAGATCTTTTTTCTTTCTTTCTTTTTCTCTCTTTTTGACTTACTTCAAAGGGATCAGTCGTATACAAAAGCTTCGTCATGATCAACGGCTTCAATACAGTTTTTTCTCCTGTTCAATTACTACATACTTTTCCTCTCTTACCATATTGTTTAGCCTGAGAATCTCTTTCTATTCTAGGTGTGACTAATGTAATACAATGTTGGACATGTGTCGGGTGGCCATGAGAATCTACAGCTCATTTTATTCACGTTCTTTGTCGCGGTGTATCACGGGAAAATGTCTGATATTCTTTTTCTCTAATTCTTTCTTTCCTCTTTTTTTTTTTCTCTCCATCTTTTTCGTTTAGTTCTTTTTTGTTTCTTTTTTTTACGTTTCTTGTGAAGTGTTGTTTTTGTTACCTTGGAAACAATTTTTATTTTATTTTTATTTATTTTGGTTACACAAGATGAGATTCAAACAATCAAATCTGAATTTGGGTTATTTGGAAATCGAAATAATTTTTGTATTCGTTATTTTAAATACATAGCAAACATGATCATACTTTTAACGCCTTCTGTGCGCATTGTTAAAAGTGAAAATTATTATTATTATTATTATTATATATTTCATGAAAAAAAGTATAAGTCAGATTATAGTAATATTAAACTACTAATAAGAGGATTAAAAATTATATTTTTCTTCGTATTTTAATTGTCATTATTTCTATGTCTGTGTAATGTAACGGTTATCGGTGTCGAAAATGGATTCAACAAGCTAATTTCAAATTCTAGCTTGTTGCGTTTACTTCGCACTAACGCCCTTGGGAAAGGCATTAACATATTTCTTCTCCTACCAGATATAAGTTTAATAACAGAGCAAACTGGGCTCTCTATCCTTACCTGGGAGCTATTCTAGAGGAATTTTAACACTGAATTCAAAACCTTGGAGAAGACAACAGGTATATTGGTTATCCCTTCCAAGTAGACCTTATTTATAGATATTAAAGCGAAAATGATTTTATAGAGAAACATGATAGACCATGTCCTGAAGAGACATGGCATTTAAAAATAATTAAAATCTCTTTAATATTCTTAACTTTATTAGTGATTATGCGTGTAACATATTATTGGTGCAAAAAGTGATATCGATATGCCTTTTTTTTTTTTTCTGTTGACTTTCACATAAATTCTCTTGGGGATTGTATGACTCCATCTCTTATCCCCACAATCTATAGTTTAAATAAAACGGTTGTCTAAAGTTTCTAGTTTTGGTTGCCAACCAGTCTAGGGAAAGAACAACGTTGAATTCAAGACATGGATCTGGCAACTCCGCGCCGTAATAACCTACTTGCTTCGAAAACGGCAGCAGTAATACCCTGCATGGTTTGATTGTGACCTTATCCTTTGCAGGAAAACTTAATGGTAATGACGTCGAAGATGAAGGGATTGATTTATTGATATTTACGGAGATTAGATAAGTATAGTATATCAGTTAAAATGGAAGAGACTTGGAAAAACTGTACCTCTAGGCTTAAAAATAAAGTAAACCTGTTTGCCTTGAGAATCAGGATTTGAAATCTTGAATTTTACCTGACCTCGAACAACACCAGCCACAAAGCAGGCCAGTTTTTTGTCATTATTATCACTAATCTCATAGCTGTAGTCATTGTTGTTAACTTGACTAGTATATCTGGATCGCGTTAATCCTAGCCACATTCCAGAAATCGGTATTTTTCTAAATCTGAATATTAGGACTTTTTTTTGTTTGTTTTTTTACCATAACTGATAATAAATGAATAATTATTATAACAATATAAATTAAAATAACTGAAAATTGTGTTTGATTACATCTTTTAATTAACAGTATTAAAAAAAATTTATGAGATTAAGAAAAAAATTTAATATATATTTATTTCATTTTAACAAACAAAGAAATTTTATGTTGTATTTGTCCTCCTGTGTTTCAGTGAGTACTGTACAATCTCCTTAAGCATGAAGAAGAAACTTGAGACAACAGAAATGTGGTTTTACAGAAGGAGGCTGTGCATACCAAGGACAAAATATGTGAGCAATGACGAAGCTTTAGAGAAAATGGAAACAAAACAGAAACTTATATTTAACATCAAGAAGAGACTAGGAAATTTCTAGGGTACATAATGAGGAAAGAGAGCTTGGAAAATCTGATACTCACAGGACAAATTGAAGGCAAATAGGACAAAGGAAAACAATGCATAACATACTTAGTGAGCTTGAGTAAATGGATGACGGAACAGGGTTTAGGAGAAATAACCAAAAGATAAAATTTATTAAGGGCCACAAAGGAAAGGAAATTGTGGAGAGTCATGTTCAACTACGTTCTGAGGACATGGTACATAAAGAAGTTGATTAACTGTTATAGCCATTTTTGGTGCTGATAGGAGTTTCTTATTTAACCTTTTGCATAGGTTATCATGGAAAGTCATTACATCATTATTTTTCTTCTCGTTCGATGTGCTATCCATTTTAATTGCTGCTGCCTTTGGAAGTCATCAAATGATATGGTTTTTGTAATTTGATAAAGTTCTTTCTGATTTTGCAGCACCACTCTAAGATATGATGAAGGAAAGTTTTCTTTAAAACTCACATGGTTCATTTAAAGGCCATTTTAAACCAATAATTTGATAAAATAGTTGGATATTTACAGTTTAACGAATCGGACTAGAATTACTGTTGAATGAAACCCAAACCATGAAGTCTCATGTCATTTCTACATATACTGACGATAGGATTGAAAACATGTTGTATAACATTCAATCTGTAATTCAATATCTGTTCATTCTTTAATATATTGTTGTTGTGTTTTATTATTTTATATTCCTTCTCCTAGCCCACATATTATTATTAAATGAGAATGCAATGTGCCAACAAAAGGACGTTGGTGCACAAATATACGAAGTCTAATATATCACTCATGATATCCTCTCTCTCTCAAGAGTGTACACCAGGCTTTAAGAGAAATAACAAAAGACAAAATTTATTAAGCGCCACAAAGGACAGGAAATTGTGGAGAGTCATGTTCCTCACAACCAAATGAGGACAATAAGATGACAAGTTTTGATAAAAAGCAGTGCATAAACTTGCAGGTGGGGTCCAGTTAGAAATACCTTCATCTTTTATCTGAAATACAAAATATTGCTTTATTTCAGATAAAAGATTGATTTCCTGGGATTTTCTGAGCCTCTCTATCAGAATTCTTCTTAAAAATTCCTATCACTCCCGCTACTACTACAACTGGAATAATAGTTCTTTTTAAATGTTACATTCTTGTAATTTCTATCTTCAGATCCTTGTATTTGGAGGGTTTATCAAATTCTTTCGCGGAAATGTTTTTATCAGGCAGTATGACATGTCTATAAGGTAACATTTGTGTTCTTTGAAGTCTTTTATGACTATATCTATTCTTTGAAGTCTTTTATGATTATATTATTATCATTATTTATTTATTTATTTTGATTTGCTGCTTGATACAATAATTTCCCAAGTCTTAAGTTACACGAACATTTTTTCTTCGAAAGTTATTGGGTATAGCTGGTTGAAAGTGTTTTGTATGTGAGTAGTACTCATTAATACTTTTCATTAATCTTTACTATTAAGATGGATTTCCAGGGATTTTCTTATTATTTTCTTTCTTGTGTTTTGATTTTATTTAAATCTTACATATTATAATTTTCATCACAGATAACAAAATAACTAAAATACAATCATTTTAATGAATTGGTAAGAATATAGTGAAAAATTCTGGTTAATTCCATGAACTGAGAACCGGAAACAGGAAGAAGCCTCCTGCTTATTTCTCTCTCTCTCTCTCTCTCTATATATATATATATATATATATATATATATATATATATATATCTCTAATTCATTCTCTATTTCTTCTTTTCCCTCTAATTTTCTGTTCATCACCCAACTTCTTTCTTTCTGCTCCTCTTTCTGGTCTTTTCTTCTCTTTCTCTCTCTCTCTCTCTATCTCTCTCTCTCTATCTATCTATCTATCTATTTATCTCGGTGTATTTATATCTGTCTATCTATCTCTTTATCTAACTGTGTATCCATATCTATCTATCTATCTCAGTTTGCTCATCTCTATCCATCTCAGTTTATTCATATCTATCTATCTATCTATCTATCTATCTATCTATCTATCTATCTATCTAAGTATCTATCTCAGTGTATTCATATCTAACTGTCTATCAATCGATATCTATCTCAGTGTATCCATATCTATCTATCTATCTATCTATCTATATATATATATATGTGTGTGTGTGTGTGTCTGTGTGTGTCTGTGTGTGTGTGTATTCATATCTCTATCTATCTATCTATCTATCTATCTATCTATCTATCTATCTAACTATCTATCTAACTATCTCAGTGTATTCATATCTAACTGTCTATCAATCTATATCTATCTCAGTGTATTCATATCTATCTATCTATCTATATATATATATATATATATATATATATATGTGTGTGTGTGTGTGTGTGTGTGTGTGTGTGTGTGTGTGTTCATCTCTCTCTCTCTCTCTCTCTCTCTCTCTATCTATCTATCTATCTATCTATCTAGGTGCATTCATAGCTGTCTATCTATCTCTTTATCTAACTGTGTATTCATATCTATCTATCTATCTATCTCAGTTTGCTCATATCTATCTATCTATCTGTCTATCTGTCTATCTATCTCAGTGTATTCATATCTAACTGTCTATCAATCTATATCTATCAGTGTATTCATATCTATCTATCTATCTATATATATATATATATATATATATATATATATATATATGTATGTGTGTGTGTATTCATATCTCTCTCTCTCTATCTATCTATCTATCTATCTATCTATGTGTATTCATAGCTGTCTATCTATCACTTTATCTAATTGTGTATTCATATCTATCTATCTATCTATCTATCTATCTATCTATCTATCTATCTATCTATCTATCTATCTGTCTGTCTCCACCTGTTGTCACCATATCTCTCTTCTGTGTCAGCTCTCCTTTTTGCTTTCCTTCGTCATCTTCCCCTCTTTCTATCTCTTCTTCACTCTTTTCTTCGTTCTCCTTCCCATATTTCTTTCTTGTTTACTAAGTTCAATTTCACTACACCAAAGTTGATCTTCCTCATGCTATTCATTTGGAAATCTTCGTTCGTCTTATCACCTCCTGCTTCTGAATTTTACCTCAACTAATAGTTGTAGCAATCGTGGTGGTAGGAAGAATTTTAATCAAGCATGTGTGAACTTTTTCGACCAGTGGGCATAAGGCAAGCTGCACTACTAAAAAAAGAATCAAGGTAACCTTCCATTAAAGGTACCTCAGTCATCTCTCTTACAAATGAAAAAAAGTTATTGTTTTTTTATTTTGGAGAAAAGATTTTTTCTATAATAAAAATACTGAAGCCTTAATATAATATTATCACTGATGACAGCGTGTTTAACACACGCTGCTGCATGTAATTTGTTTTTAATTTATCAATTTGAAAATGCAAAAATTATTTTTTTAATTATTATGAACGTTTCCTGTTTTTAAAGCAAAGGATGCTTACACATTTGATCTTCCTTAGTGAAAAACGACAATGTTTTAAAATGTTGAAAATGTTATCGTCAACGAAAGGTTACAAAAATCAGTAAACCTTGTACTTAATCATTGTCATATAGGAGATTATGGTGATTTTCTAAGCGTAGCTTAGATGTGGCACAAGACTGAAAGTATAGGAGCAACCAGTGAAGATAGAACTCACTACTCAGTAATTGATCTAGCAAGACAAGGTTTCGAACTATTACACCACACCGAAGTACCTATATGTGTGCTTATGTATGAATGAAGAAATGACAAAAAAAAAAGAAAAGCAAAGTTATAATAAATGTTATATCCCTTATGAAAATAGGCGTGCCATTCCGAAAGTCAAATGGGATGCATTCGTCCCGTGGGTCGCAATTTGCCCACGTCTGATTTAAATCTTTTTACGTCTTAACTCTCATTGTTGTAAACAATGATTTTATATCGTAAATCTCTTCCTACAGTTAGACGATTGAAATATCATTAAAAAGCTTCTACTAGTTGTTTACTGTTATTTTTTTAGCTCAAATTCGTTGACTAATTTAATTAAGGACTTCTTTATATTGCTTTAGCGGTCCCTGCTTTTACCATGACAATTCTTTAAATCTTATTCTATCGAAGTGAAAATCAATTTGTTAGATTTAAATGATCTTAGATGTGCAAGCAAACATAACAGTTTTTTTTAGATTATTAGAAAATTAATATAATTAATAAAATGAATACAACTTCTCCAAATGCCACAGAAAAACAATACATAATTATTTTTCTTTCGTTTTAAAAAGGGAATTATCATTATCAAATAATTTTTTAATGTCATATACTTTAAGGACATGTATCCCCAATGATTTCCTTTTTTATCTGTGAATCTCCAAATATAGATAAGTCCACCTATCGCCCAGTTCACAATCTTCCCCAACTCCCGAAGTCTTTTGAACAAGAGTAGAAGTTTATTCCTTGTTTCCTGCTTAGGGTTGGGTTTCCGATTCCTTCTAAATTATACTTCTTTACTTTTAACGCCTCCACCTAAACGATGAACTATAATATTATTGAGCTTCCAGTTCCTTTTAACGTCTTTTCCTTCTCTTTAGCTTCCAGTAGCCACTTGGGGATTAGTAGTGTTATCGCCTAGCCTGGGGTGAATTGATTAAAAGAATATAGTTCAATGGTTTCCCACTGCCTTCTCAACAGTTTGAAATTCTCAGTTTTCCAAATTCTTGTATTATTTTTATCTAGTGTTCTTACCTTAGTTGTTATAAATGTTATTATAGACACAACGTTTCAACCAAGTACTTTCTGGTCACCATCAGGTGTCCATTCATTATTGTGATATTTTGTCCTTATGTTGTCAGGTATCGTTCATTCCTGTTGAATTGATGCTCCACATGACCCAAGGATTAAACTCATGACCACTAGGTGACAGTAATACATGTATAACCAAACGTTACAGTTCCTTCTTCTAGACGTTGATACCAAATGCTAGAGAGAATAGTTTAGCATGTTATTTAACCGATAGCTGGTAGGTGAACAGACAGATCCATAACTTTTCAAAAGTATATTATAGCGAAAGTGAATGCAAAAGATTTGAGTCAAAGAATAGTCTTTTTAATTATTCCTTATGCACATATCACAAGAGAAAACTGTTGTTAACTTAAGCCCGATTATAATTGATGCAAGTATTTTAGGTTACTATCGAGCACAATAACTTTTTTTTCTTGGCATGCTTAAATTTCAGTTAATAAAACTAATAATTCTTGTCATCGGAAATGAATGACTAAACTTGAACCTCTATGAATTATCTTATCAAGTAATTTCTCCACTCCAAATCTAGAAAAGAGGAAAGAGGGGGAATACTTTTTTTTTTTTTTATCCATAGAACACGAGAGACACGTACACCTGTGGTTCTGGTTATTTCGATGTGCTTAAATTGTCGAGTATCCTGTATTATTATTATTATTATTATTATTATTATTATTATTATTATTATTATTATGTTGGCTGCCTCCAGATCCTAATTATGTAAAACACTTCCTTGCCTCAGGGTAAGATGTTATGGGAACACCGACACAGGGGTACAAGGAAGAGAAAGACACCTGTCATAACAGAACGATCACTCTCCATACGCACAAATGTGCGCGAGCACGCACACAAATACAGAGAGAAAGAGACATGTACACACACACACCACACATAGATAGATAGATAGATAGATAGATAGATAGATAGATAGATAGATAGATAGATAGATAGATAGACACAGACTGAGATAGAGAGATGAATAGAAAGAATGGGTAGATAACTAGATAGATAGAATTGAATTTGTAAATTCGCACACACAAAAACAGACACATACATACACACATACATATATATATATATATATATATATATATATATATATTATTATAAATGCTTATAATAAAAACATTTTGAAATTGCTGCACAAAAGCTTTCATGTTTCAATACTATGAATACTAGTTACTTAACATCGCCTGAAAAAATGCAATCATAGTATTGAAACATGAAAGCTTTTGTGTAGCAATATCAAATTTTTTTTATTATAATTTCTTATAATAAGAATATAATAAAACTAAAAATTCTCAAATTGCCATATTAGTAAAAAAAAAAAAAGCACTCTCTCTTTTCAAAAAATTCAACCTTAGCGTTGCGACTGTACGTTCCAAAAGTTTGTATCCGTTAACAATAAAACATTTCTAAAAAAAAATATATATATATATATTTTGATTAGCATTTAATTTTTTTTTTTGTCTCGGATGCTACCTAGATTTTACTAAAAACAAAATAATTTCCATGCCTGAAGATGACTGAATGTACAGTTGAAAGTACTTGCATATTAAAAAAAGACCTTATACAGCTTATAGTTATTTAAAAAAAGGATCATAACATTCATCGAGAGATTTATAGGTTAATGTAACTTTGAAATTTTGTTTGCGAAAGGATTTCGCAATTTTATATCATTAACTTTACTAATTTACTTTTGTATGAATGATTCATTGTAATATAAATATATATATATATATATATATATATATATATATATCAAATATGTGGTGCAGTTCAATTTATATTACAATGAATCATATATATATATATATATATATATATATATATATTCTAATTTTCTATATTATGGTGGAAGAGTGTTCAATATCGGAGAGAGGAGTGTTTGCAGATATGAAGTTATTAACAGTGTGAACATAAAAAAAAAACAACACTGCACGATGACTGGCAATTGCACGCCTAAAGCGATCAGCAGAGCATTTAATGAGATCGTTTAAGACTTGACAATCAATAGACAATATCGATTTTATCTATTTACTCATATATATATATATATATATATATATATCACTTTCGTACAAATACATAGTTTATAACACGCACACACACACACACACACACACATATATATATTTATATATATATAAAAGTGAACATTGAAGTCAACACTCAGAGGCGACAGGCTGTTTCATACTAGACGCATTCGTCAAGCCTGACGATTGCGTCTAGCATGAAACAACCTGTCGCCTCTGGAGTGTTGACTTCAATGTTCATATTTACAGACGCTCTATCTCTGATATTGAGAACTTTATTCCATAAATATAGCACACCTTAAAACTATATTTCTTCATCTTCTTTATATATAAATATATATGTAAAAATCGCAGTCAAACCCACAACACAAAAGCATCATGCATACACGTTCATAGCACTAACCATACACACATATATGCACATGTATTAATTATCCGTTCTTTCATGTTTAGTCCACCGTTATGCATAAAATTCCACAAATTTTCACTCATATTTACGCATACATTAAACCTGGCTATCACATAACTGCGTATATAACGGTAGAAACTTACAATTTAAAACTTTCTTTTACTCTCCCTAACTATCTTTTCTTTAAACTTCCTCTCTCTCTCTCTCTCTCTCTCTCTCCCCACTCTTTCTTTCTCTGTCACTTTAATTCTCTTTCTGTGTAACACTATGTCCAACACTTTCTTTCTCTCATATCATACATACAAAAATTTTGAGCATAAACATCTATCTGTGAATATATCTGTCTGTCTTTTCTCAGATTTCTGTTTCTTTTTCTCAAACATATTTAGAGCACTCCTAGTCCCCGACACACGCACAAATACACAAGCACAAACACCACCCCAAGTGGATATGTTAATCATTAGGGGTGCATGTATCGGATTAAAGAGACTACAGGTGTCTCTTACATAAACAATATCAGAAGATAATTTTCATATGTCACACCTGGATCAGCAAGTGCCTTTAAAGAAGAGTTGAAACTTTTTCTTCAATAACACGACACCAAAGAAAAAGCCCCACCCCATCTACCACATTCTCAATTAAAGCGTATGGTTATTAGGTAAGGAATTATATTCCTTGTGTTAATGACACAGAGTTCACAGTCACTACCTAGCAGAGAACAGAATATTTAATTTGAAGAAACTTTCAAAATCTTTTATCAATCGATTTTGGCCTTTGTCTAAGTTAGTC